ATGTTTACATATTATTTATACAGTTTATAGGCTGCACAATATTGTGTAATTTAGGGAAGACACATATTTTATTGAAGTTTTGGTATTTACTGAAGAGCGACAGCTAAAGAAACAAAATTTGTCAGGAATATTTCAGAAATGGTCTTCAGGAGACCCACATTCATAAAAGATAAACTGGTAAAAAAGCAGCCCCGAAGGAGCTGCTGGAATATATAGTGGTCTTCCTAGCCTGTCTAGGTATTTCAGTAGTATTGCTGCCCCAATAGCTCTTACCTGCCCTCCTGTGGCGACCAATTAAACTTAAGTTCAGATAAACAATTCCCCCACACAGCTACCTCCTCATGTATCACTTGCCCCTCCCTTTTAGATTGTAAGCCCTCACAGGGCCCTCCTTACCATCTTGTCTTGTATTGTAATAATTGTCATGTCTTCCTTATATTGTAAAGGCGCAAATTGTAGGCGCTAAAAATCCTGTATAATAATAATAACAAAGTACTTGCATCAAAAGTTACTAGTCCATTCAGGAATAGAATTTCAGGTTGCAGCAGAGGATCACTTCTCAGACTCCCCACACATGGTGACGTTGTTTTTTGTCATCTTCATCCAGTTTCACTTCTTATACCCCAGGCTCAGTGCTCAGTGTGAGCAATGCATATGGCTTTGCTTCTTAGGCTTCAGGCCTAGTCAGATCAGACACTCCATAGCAGCCTCCCCCAGGCAGGAGCCCAAGAGGACAAAGAGTCTCACATGGTCCACCCCGAATATTTATGTCCTCTCCCAGCATGCACCACTGGCTATGAACCTCCTAGTTATTGGCTATGGAGACATAGATGTTAATAACACTCTTATTATTGGTTGCCCTATGACAAAGATACACCTAGCAGCAGGCAGATGCAAACAATAGTGTATGATGTATAATATATTGTGTGTGTGTGTGTATTTATGTATGTATGTGTGTATATATATATATATATATTATACTGTATGTGTGTACAGACACTATACTTTGCATAAAAATACAATTTAAACTATGCATAAACCAAGATGTATTTCTAAAATTCTTGCTATTTTCACTTACATCTAAAAATATTCTGAATGTAGAACTCATTGATCACTGACAATAGAAAATTGGTTCAAGCTTTAGCATTTTTATACTAAATCATACCTGTCAAGCTGAACTCACTGAGAGGCCAAATATAATAGCTTTCTATATTTTCAATGAGCAAGCAATATCAAAGCTGTAAAATCAGCACAGATGTTGCCCTGGAATTATAAACTTTCAAAGTGTTAGTGTTTTCCTGATTTTCATTTAGAATGACATCTAAGGGCATGTCTGCTTTTGAAACCCGTAACTAAAAGTTAATAAAGAACACCTCTAGCCAGCCAAAACATTGACTTCGCTATTTTTTACAAATGAGTGAAGGTTAGAAAGTCCAGTGCAAATTACTTTTATGTAAGTGTGTGGTGCTCCCATGTCATGTTTACATTTGAGCCTTCTCACAATGCTTCTGGGAGGGACTGCAGCTGCAATGAGGAGAATATCTGAGCTGTCAGTGAAGGCTATCAATATTCAGGTAATTAGCCCAATGATGGAACTTCTAGCTTTCTGCTAACAGGACTTATGAGCACAATGGGTGGTACTATGAATACACAACCACAGATGAGTCAAAATTATATTAACAGCAACAAGGCATTTTTTTATTCCAAGGTGACCGAGTACATCAACACTGAGACAAAAAAAAGCAAAAATGGGGTGTTGTATAACATTTCATGAAGGTGCCAAAGTCACAATATGTCTGAAGGTTCGCATTCATCCAGGTCATGGTATATCAGTAAAAAATAAGTCAAGACAACTGGACTTGCATTATTTTTCTTGAAGAAGTTTTCTTGTTCATCCGACAAGCTTTCTCAATTCAGAATGACTTGTACAAAAATTATCTGGGAATAAATATGGTGAATGTTGCTCCAATCCACATAATCTGTTAGTCGCAACCAGTTGTTGATAGCATTTGCATAATTGGAGTTAGGAGGTGTTAATAACCTGCCCAGAGAGAGGTGTTAAAACAGCATTTACTAATACAGAGATTTGTTAACGTAAACCCATGCATGCAAAGTAAAGGCCCATTCAGACCTCTCTGTGGTACATAAAAATATGCATGTTAATGTACAATACCTTGTCAATGCCACCCCAAAACATTAATCCAATGCACCTCCAATGTACACGATGATGTATATCATAGGAAGCCTATTCCTTTGAATGGACTGACTTGACGCAAAGCATGTGGGCGTTCAAAAAAAAAAACCTCATTATCACATCACACTGGAACAGACAGGTCTGAATGTTCCCTTAGTGTAATACATACAGGTATTAATTGCATCTCAAAGAAATCACTGCACTCCCAACTGATAAATTGACGGGTGTCTGTTTACACTTGGTTACCCCTGGCTCCGGACAGGTATGTAAAAAATGAATGAAACAGTGTTCCATTTTGACAAACCTGAGTGCTAGGTCAGGGGTAATCTGATGTGAATGGACACATGTCTGTTTACATCCGATTCCCCATAGACCATAAATCCCACAAAATAAATGTGAAAGGGGACTTTAAACAAGTTCCTTATATGATACAAGCATGTGTATACAAATGCCTGTGCCTTTGTTTTAAAACGTCTATGCATGTTGTCGCATACAAGCCCCCCAGGCTACTGTTCACCCTCTGTCATGTTGACAGTATGCCACCAGAAAGAAAGTGATGGGAAATTCAAACTTTTATAGGTGTCACTGAAAACGAAATATAGGGAAACTGTTGTAAAGGAGACACTGGTTTAGGTAACTATTTGAAAACCAAAAAGGACAAACGTGAGGGCGCAAAGCTAAAGAGGCTATCTAACTGGGCTAGACATTGCAAGGGAAACAACAGAATGGAATCATGTACTTACTACTTGGGTGGGTTCGAGGAACGGATAAAGACCGGACTGTGGGGAGGATCGTGGAGTCCTAGGTGTGTGTTCTCAATGGAGGCTAGTGTGCTGCCTGAGGCTGCTTATCCCAAGGAGGAGAGAAGAGAGGGGTAGACGGGAGGCGGCACAAGGATATTGTCCGTATCCCCGCTGCTGTAACAGAAGGTTCAGGAGGTGTGCACAAGTGGCAACTGGCTCGGCTGCTGTGGCCGCAGCTGTAGACAGAGCGGCTCAGTCTGTGTAAGGACCGGGCTTGACATGTACCCGAGCTGTGACGGTGGTGATGGATCAAAAGTCAGCCGGGAAGCTGACACGGTCAGGAGCAACGCGTTTCGAGGATACAACCTCTTTTTCAAGCTCAACCATTCTCGTTGAGCTTGAAAAAGAGGTTGTATCCTCGTTGAGCTTAAAAAAGAGGTTGTATCCTCAAAACGCGTTGCTCCCGACCCTCCACCCACGACTATACAACCCGCCCCCCGTCTACCCCTCTCTTCTCTCCTCCTTGGGATAAGCAGCCTCAGGCAGCACACCAGCCTCCATTGAGAACACACACCTAGGACTCCACGATCCTCCCCACAGACCGGTGTTTATCCGGTCCTCTGACCCACCAAAGTAGTAAGTACATGATTCCATTCTGTTGTTTCCCTTGCAATGTCTAGCCCAGTTAGATAGCCTCTTTAGCTTTGCGCCCTCACGTTTGTCCTTTTTGTTTTTCACAAGTACAGGTACTCCTGTCTCCTAGGGCTGCAGGCCAGTTAGGAACACATAATTAAATTCCCTAGTTCCAATCCGAGAGCGCTGTTTGTGCTATCTTTGTGTGCTTTTTGTAACTATTTGAAAGAGCCCTCACTTTGGGGAGAATTTCTCTTACTTACTCTGACATGTTTCCATGTAAATCTCCCCAACGAGAATGCAGAAAAACTATTTTGGATAAAGTAAGGAATGGTTTAAACCCCTGCCAAAAAAAGGTCTATGGATGCATTTGACTTTACTTAAAAATTTTGCTTTTTCTTAAAATATATGTAGTGTGCCAGTCTTTTGCCTATTTCCTGTTATGAGGAGCCATAAATTAGAGGAACTGATAGAAATAGAAAAAGTGTTAAGGGTCTATTCACTAAGCTGCCGTAGGCAGCCGAGTGAAAGACCGACCTGAAGTGAAGCTGTTCGGCTATTCACTTCAGGCTGGTACGGCTGATTTCAGCAGTATATCGGCTGAAATCAGCCGTACATCGGGTGGCTTCGGGTCGGCCGAACATGCTCTGCATGTTTGGCCGACCCGAAGTACAGATGCTCTTTCTTCTTTTGTATGAGACTTATTTTTGCATTTTCTGAATTTTAACCAATTTTCACACTGTAGGCCTGTTTTTTTTTGTTCATTAGTTATCCCAAGATGTAGTTGCTAGCATTCCCTAACCGGTCATATGTGTTACTTTATAGATCTGGCAGTACAACTTACTGCCCTCATTAATCAATCTGAAATCAGCAGCAAATTAATAAAGTTTACTTTTACTTTTTGTCTGGTTAGATATTGTCCCCTAAATTTTTCCAAGATGTGGTCCTGTGCAGGATGTGAATACCTAGCAATAGAGGAGGTGGTTACTCTCATAATGTTAATTGGCATCAAGGAAGTAAGAGTATCTCAAGTATCCATTTTTCTTGCTTTATTTGAAACATACGGTTACATGTTTTATCAATCTGAAAGTACAGCAGTGGAAAAACCTGTAAATCATTAGAATTATTGCATTTGAAAGCTGTTAAAAATATATATTTTTTGCCTGTCCTATTGGCAATAGTTTTTGTTTTTAACAAGAAAATGAATCTGATTAATATTTTCTACATGTAATATAGGATACTAAACTGAAAAAGCCAGTATGAAAAAATAACAAAAATAATTCCAAACTAATAACATGAGGTGTTCTTAAACTTGCAATACTGTAAATATTAGTGTAAAATTAGAAATACATAATTTGCATTCAATTATGAGTATTTGACAAATATGTAATTTGAACATTCAGGCATAAGTAAGGATTTTGTAGTGGAACTCAGTCATCGTCTATGTAGACTGGTTTTCGTTCTTCAGGTAGAACTGGCTTCAATTTTTGCCATCGTTGCGGTGGCCACAGGATATGAGTGGCTTGTGCATGCAGAAGACCAAGTGAAACCTGTAAAACACAAGTAAGTGTGTTAGTTCAAAAAAAGTGACAATTTTGATATAAGTTTACAATAATATTTTTTGTGTAAAAAAAGAGAAAAAAAAGCCACTAGGGACGTAGGGAGGTCAAAATGAGAAACAAATGCCTAATTCTCAATTGTATGATTGCAGTCGTTGCTACACAATGTTCTATTTATAATGATATGAAAGTTCCAATCTGTGCACATTACTGTTTCTGGTTTTAATTAAGTTCATTAAATTAATTAAAGCATAAAATGTTAGTTGTGTTATTTTGTGACACCTGCTTACATAATTGTATAATGATTGTTATAATGAACTCTCCTAGTTATAACTGCTGAATCTGTGGTATAAAAAAACAAAAACCAACAGGATTATACATTTGCAGATCCTGCATTCCAGCTAGTCTCGGCCACATCACATGAATTTTAAGGGCTTGTTTGCACCATGTGCAGTGAATGGTGTTTGCCGCACCTAATCAACACCAGTCACCGCAAGGACACATAGAAAACAATGTGCCCTGTTCATACCAGAATGATGAGGTGTTAACGGGGTCCCATAGAAAGGTGGGTTGTTGTCACACAGCATTTTTCCACACCTCATGTTTGCACTAGTCATCATACTGCAGCTGAGTTCTGGGGAATTCAAATTAATGAAATGTCACTACCTTTTTTTTTTTGTTTAAACTTAATTTAAATGTCAAACAAATGTGTGTAACAATGCAAGGCACCACCCCCACCCAGTAGACACCAGTCTGTACGCAAAAATAGGCCGTTGTGAACAAGCCCCCTTTAAAAGGGTTCATGTGAAATTTATGTTGTACCTTATTACATGGGTAAGGTTGGGAGGTCTGTATGTAGTTTGAAGAGGCAGCACACATATTATAGGAATCATAGAATACTGCTTCAAAATATTGGCTGACTGCATGTACATCAAAGTCCCACTGTTCATACAAACCTAAAAAACTGAGATAAGATACCTTTCATAGCTAAACATGTAATATGCATTTTATAAAATAACATGTCAACTGAAAGCTAATTTGTTCCCATGTTGTTTGTTACACATACAATGAAGGCCAAATAAAGTAAACAAAGTGGGGTAGTTGCTTATAGTCAAAACTGCTTTCTGGGAATATAAAATTTTGATTGGTCACCAACAACTCTTTAATTTTGTTTGCTCTGACTTCTTTTTACAAGAATAGCTCACAGACTGTGTTGCACTAAAAGTAATTTTTAATGCAAAGGCTTCATATAAATAATAATTAAAAATAATAATAATTTAAAAAAAAAACTTGAACCAAACTTGATACTTGCTTTGCTATCAAGATACCTGCAGCAGGAACCCAAACTTTGTTCACACCAACAACTGCAGACCAGATCCAGACCCGAACATATTTTTATCCGGACCAAAAATGCACACAGTAATTCCAATGGTAAACATAAGAATAGTTCACACCATTGTGTTCAGTTCCAGAGATTTTTAATCAAAAGTACAGTTTTATAAAATGCATATAAACATATCTAAACAATCTGGAACACGCTTAAACCCAAGAAAAACAAATGGGGGGGGGGGGTACAAGAATGCATCAAACACACACATACATGCTTTTACAGAAAGGCATCCACATCTTGTCTGGAGATGGTGTGAACAAACCCTGAGGCATTGCATTTTTCCACTTTTTACAGTGATTTTGCTGCGTTCCAGAACGTGATTTTGCTGTTTTTTTTTAACTTAAAATGGCCTTTCAGGTGCATGTAAGTGTATTTGCATGCATTTATGATGTGTTTCCATGCATTCCAGACCAGAGAAAATGAGACAAGCAGTATGGTTCGGAACGGACTGTGCTGGTGTGAACAGAGCACAGAAATACCATAGGGATGCATGGGGATGAGAAAAAAATTTTCTCAACAATGTCAGAAATACCAACCATCAGTTGTCCTCCCACCAAGAAAAAATTTTTCTCAACAATGTCAGGACATAGCTTGTTACATTGCACACTTTGAACAAATGCCTAATTTATGGAATCTCCATGACACATTCTGTTACTTTAGGGTGTTTTTTCATAGTTCGTTAAAAGCAATTATTAGAATCTATGCAAACTTTAGTTAACAATAAACTGAAATGACCATGGGCACCTGCAACTAAGCTTCATTTTTTATTTTAACATATACAGCCAGCTGAGAATGTCAAATGGGCGGAGCCCCCATTTTTAATTAAAGGGGTACCCTGATGCAAATAAGCCCCCTTGCCCGCAGCCCCCCACAACCACCGGGTCAGGGTTGTGGTGAAGAGGCCCTTGTCCCTATCGGCATGGGGACACCCTCCCAATGCCGAGGGCACATGGCTTGGTAAGGTGTAGGGAGTTTTGTCCGAATCCCGAAACAAATTGAATTTCTGACCCGAATCCCGAAAAACAAGATAACGCAAATTCAGAATCAAAACAAAACAAATTTTTGCACATGTCTACTAATATTTGTGTTCTAGGAAGATATTACAAATCATGCCCTACCTATATGCACAGGGTATAATAAGTAAATTAAATTACCTTTTATGTAAAAAGTATTCTAAACACTTTTTTTACAGTAAATACAAATTAAATACAGTAATTAGGTAAAGTGGACTCAACATTGCCAAGGCTTTGTTAAACCAGAGGGGGAAGCTAAAGGGTAGAAGAGATCTTGTTTTATTTATTACACCTGGAGTAAGACGCATCTCTCTTTATTACCAAAGTTTACATTTCTGTCCTTATTATATAACAACAACAATTTTGGAAGGTAAAGCCATATAATAATTCCTTAATGCCCCACATATAACTGTGCATGAATAACTGCTGGTTTATAAGAAATCTACAACATGGAATGTAAAGCTATTTATTGAAAATCTGTATTAAAATGTATTTAAAAATATGCGGATTTCCCAGGTCACTGAAGTTTATGGGCATCATAGATTCTAGGGAATAGCATGTAGGGAGCAATTATAAAATAAGTAAGGTAGAACAAATGGAGAGAACAACCTCTTTAGAAACTTTTGGAAGAAACTTTGTGCAATCTATGCACAGGATGCACTTCAACTTTCCAACATAGCCATAATCCCAAGCAAAGTAAAACCGGTCCATTAGTGTCTGCAGCAGGAAAAGGTAAAGGTAATGGAGTGGCCATTACAATCTCCTGACTTCAACATCAATGAGCCACTTTGGGGAGATCCCAAACATGAAGTTCATGCTCCACAAGCACAGAGGTTCCAGAACACATAGGCATTTTGACAAGAAGAATGGGGAGCATTGAAAAAATAAAGAGCCTCATTTACAACTATCATAAAAAAATCCAAGCTGACAATGTGAAATTTGAATCACATTAAAACACAACTTAAATGGTGCAATTGTATAGTAATATTAATCTTTGTAATATAAGATAAGACTATCTTTTGCAATATGCCCCTAAATATATGTAGTTTTGGCCTTGCCTATACAGTTGAGCTGTATTCGATATCCATCTTCTTTGGTCATCATTTACTAGCAACCATTTCCTTCAGTACTTCATCTTCAATATGTGCCAATAGTTACAATTAATTTTTTTGCTTCAATTTAATACAGGTAAAGGTTTTATTTACTATATAGTTTATCCCAATATTGTGCATCTCTGCAGGTCTTAAATTAAGGTTTGTGTGATCTCTACACTGTCTCACGTCAATAATTATTTTGCTGTGTTAAATTTCAGAAGTGATACTTTAACACAAATATTGAGTACATACTGAAATCTAATTTCGTCTTTGGTACAGCAGATAAATACTGTATCAGATAATACAATTTGAGTGTGATAATTGTTAATGGTGTTTATATAAACGTTTATATTCTAAAACACTAGAAAAAAATCTTTTGTTACAAGTGACTTTAGTGTGTTTTTAGTGCTATAATTTTGCTTTTCCTTCTTCACTTAAAAAAACAATATAGTACCACATGGTATGGTCAGATTGCATCCCTGTGATCACTGCTGGGAATTACTGGATGCCATGCCAGTGTATGGTGTGCATGTATCTGCCATTATCAGTTTTGTGACTATGCTCCTGTTAATAAATACTTTTTGGGGATACATACCTTCGGTGTGCTGGTGACATACTGTATCTTCATTGGCTGTATTGAGTTCTCATACACTTTAACTTTGGGTTAGAAAAGGTCATCTCCTACCACTGCCTCTGCCTCTAGAAACACTAAAAATGAACTTTAACTGCTAGAACCAATAAGATCCCCAAACTTGTTTTTGTTAGTATCATTTACCTCTGAAAAGACTGAGCAAAAGTAATTGTTTAAATAGTTTGCTACATGGAGGTCTGAATAAAACTGTTTAGGAAGCATTTCTCACCATTGACTGGACCATTACAACACATATGTTTCCTTCTGTTAAAGCCTGATCTATAATTCCTGATCTATGTACTTGTTCCAGATCAAAGATGCAATATTAAGTATGGTCATTATGCATTTTCAGGAGGCAAAATCAACAATGGCAACTCTTTCTTCTCTCACTACAGGTTTAATCCACACATATTTCACACCATACAATGTCTGTTAAACTTCAGGTACACAGAATTCAAAACATTATCAGTTGTTATTAGATAATTGCATGTTTCTTTATTTGATAGCAATCTGTCCAGCACGGAGTTCCAACCAGATTTAAATCTCCAAGAAATATTGAAGAACATCCTGGTGACCTTTTATAAACAAAGTGGAAGTAAAGCAGGAACAAAATGGGTCACATGAGCTTTTAGGCATAATGCGCTAGTATGCACATATTAGCACGTATGGCACTCTTTCAGCCAAAGTGATCCCCTACAGCCCTGCAATGTCCTGGCTGTCCTCTCTCATTGACTCTTCCATTTTTGTCCCAGTCTTCTTTTGGGTTCTGAGTATTTAGCCACCTGATTGGCCAATCCCTAAACGATGTAACCATTGTAACGTCATGCATGTGCAAGGACGTTACTTCATCTTGGCAAGGATCC